GAAGTCAACTTATATAGTATATATAGAGAGGGAGAGAGATGTCAACTTATATAGTATATGTAGAGAGGGAGAGAGACGGAAGTCAACTTATATAGAGAGGGAGAGAGATGTCAACTTATATAATATATATAGAGGGAGACAGAAGTCAACTTATATAGAGAGGGAGAGAGATGTCAACTTACATAGAGAGGAAGAGAGATGTCAACTTACATAGAGAGATGTCAACTTATATAATATATAGAGAGGGAGACAGAAGTCAACTTATATAGTATGTATAGAGAGAGGGAGTGCTAGAAGTCCACTTATATAGTATAGAGAGAGGGAGAGATGTCAACTTATGTAGTATAGAGAGAGAGGGAGACAGAGAGATGTCCACTTATATAGTTAGTATAGAGAGAGAGGGAGAGATGTCCACTTATATAGTATAGAGAGAGAGGGAGAGATGTCCACTTATATAGTATAGAGAGAGAGGGAGACAGAGATGTCCACTTATATAGAGAGAGGGAGACAGAGAGATGTCAATTATATAGTATATATAGAGAGGGAGACAGAGATGTCCACTTATATAGTACAGAGAGAGGGAGAGCTAGAAGTCAAGGAAATGGCTGTTAGGAGAATCCCAAGTGCAGACCAGGCAAACCAAGATCAGCTGGAAGGCAGGAATCTCAAGTTGGCACAGGGCAGGACCTCTGCACTGGAACGGGTGTCAGCAGGGGACAGGTAACCAATGCCTGGGCAGGCATGCTGTAGAACCAGTGGCGTGGAGCGCACAAGCTGGGGCAACAGAACAGGCGTTTGGGGCCCTCCGGTGGGCGTTAAGTTTTCCAGGCACACTTGGTGGGCAAGCCCAGCAAGCAAATACATAGGGCAGGCTGCGGGGTCAGGTTCCAAAAATGGGAAGTTGGAGGAGGCCCCAGATGCAAAATCAGAGAAGAGAGTCCTGAATGCTGATTATATTGGGAGGAGGCCACACCCCCGAGTTAACAACTGCCCAACTGGGAGTGCTTAGCTATCATAGCTGGGCACCAGAGACCCCTCCCAGCTGGGGAGCCAAGGTGCAGGTGGCCCCCACCTAGTGTAGGGCTGGGAATGGAGAGAGCACATGTGTGGGATCGGGTCCAAGAGCAACCACCAGAACTCAGTCGAGCAGAAACTGAGGAGGGACCCCTTGTGATTTCAGTGTTTCTCTCATGGGTCCCCACCTTTTCTGAGATTCTGGGGGCTGGTGGGTTGGGCACTGGACTTCAGGGGTATGGGCAGGGTGACAAGGGTCCTGTTGAAACCTTCCAGTGACAGGCCAGGGGTGCTGTCAGGATGTGCCCGGCGGAGGTGGCTTTCCAGAAGCTTCTGCAGATACTCAGCTTGGGGCTCACACAGGCCTGGAAGCAGGGAGAGAAGCACTGAGCCCACATGGAGGGGACAACAGATGGCTGAGGCCTGGGCCTGCTGCCACAGCACTGGCCTGTATCCATTCCTGTCCCCATGCCCCACTGGACACAGAGGACAGATTGTGCCTCTTGAGGACACAGGATGGACAGTCAGACTTCTGGCAGTGTCTGAGCAAAGTGGGATATGCTCACAGGACAGGACCATAGCCGGACCACAGCCCTCCTAAATGACTCCACAGTTCGGTCTCCTCAGCCAGGACCACCACCCACCAGGATGTTGGTAGGGTGGGGTTTGGGGCAAAGCCAATGGGTCCCAGCCAGGGAGAGCCAGGTGAGGCCTCTGTCACCTCCGCCCATCCCAGCTGCTAGCTGATGTTTGCTTCAGCACCTTGCTGCCTGCCGGGGAGAGAATGGCACTGAGACCAGGTGCTGAAGGTCACTTCCCCGAGCACCGCCTCTCCAGGAGGCCCCCGGGAGCATGGAGATGGGGTGAAGGGTGGGCTACTGGCTGAAACCCAGCCCACTGAACCCCACGGCAGGAGTCCCAGACATCTTCCATCCAACACTGATGGAGCTGCCCACTCTGGTGGCCTCTGACCATGTCCTCCCTCCTGGCCCTCCGGGATGGTACCTAGTACAGCCCTGCTGCTGTGTCCGAGGGTCAGTGCACCCCCTCATGGTCCTGTGGGTCAGAGGGCCTGTGGGCAGTAACTTGTGGGCACAGCTGGTCTGTGGTGGTCACTCTGGCAGCAGTATTCAGAGGTCATCTGGAGGCCCCACCACATTGTGGTGTCAAGGCTGGGCCAAGTCCAGAGAGTGTTTCCCTGAGCATGTACCCACTAGCTCCCCTCCTCTGGCACATGGCCAGTGCTTGGAGCCCGAGGTCATCTCTTTGTGCTCAGTCCTGAGGGCTTTGGTCCTTGCTGGTGACCCAGTCAAGATGAGGGAAGAGGGGTCCCTGGAACACCTTTGGGAGGGAACCTGGGCTCATGGTCTGAGGCACCGACTTCCACACTGCACCTCCCCAGCTGTCCCTTCAGAGGACATGGGCCTTGGACGCAGCCGTAATCATCCACTGTGTGTGGTTCTCGCCATCCTTTCAGGGGACATGGACTGCCCAGACGTCCACTCAGAGGACATGAGCCCTGGGTGCAGTACAGCCGTAAGCACCCATGGTGTCTGATCCCCACTGTCCCGATTGCAGAGAGGACATAGCTGCCTGGATGGAAGTCATGGGATGTGGGTGGACCAGAGGAGTCATCCATGGACAACCTGGGGCAGGGCCAGGGTACCTAGTGTCATTCTCTGACTACAGCAGATGCTGGAGAAACAGGGAAGGAGGCGGCCACAGCGGACAAGGACACACTGGTCATCCCTGGAAGTAACAGCTGAAACAACTCACGTGGGAAGGGAGCTTTTCCCAACCTGTGTGCTCTGCAGGCCCTTAGACCCTCACTTAGGTTTATCTCAAATTTGTTCTCAGCATTTATAACAGCTGTTTTGATGCAATTCCCAAACAACAACAAACCCATTGGTATCAACTCCATTCTGCTTCATAGTGACTCTAAGACAATAGAACTGCTGCTCAGGGTCTGCAAGGCGGTCATCTTGACAAAAGCAGATCTCCAGGTCTTTTTCCCAGAGCAGCTATTGGGTTTGAACCATTGACCCGTCAGTTAGCAGCTGAGAACCTATTTTTTTCTTTTAACTTTATTGTGAATTGGGTGAAGGTTTACAGAATTGATCAGTTTTGCATTCAACAATTCATACATACTTGGTTTCATTCCATTAATGAAATCACTTATCCTGATGGTACATTGAAATCAATGAGATGAAACCAAATGTATATGAATTGTTTGGATGCAAAACTGATCAGCTCTGTAAACCTTCACCCAATCCACAATCCACCCAGCACGCAAGTCACCGCACAGCTGTCAGTTTCACAGACCGTGGTGGCTTCCGTGTTGCTGGGATTCTAGAAGCCATGCCACCAATATTTTAAATACCTGCAGACTCACCCCTGGTGGACAGGTTTCAGCTGAACTGACAGACCAAGACAGACTAGGAAGAAGGGGAGAGAGAATACTTCC